TGTCTGCATAGATGCTGCATGGAGTACAGCACCTTATAGTGAAACCGCCTCATAGTGAAACCGCCTTATAATGAAACCGCCTTATATCGACACCGCCTTATAGCGACACCGCCTTATAAAGAAACCGCCTTATAGTGAAACCGTCTTATACCCAAGAACATTATACATATAATATAACTATATTTAACTCACAACTAGTTGCTTGAATAATTACGGGTAAGGAGATCTGACTATTGAAGTGAAATGCCTTCGACTGGGATCAAGAAATTCGGCGACATATTTTTCTTTCACATCAGGTATCTGGCAGCGGACTGAGTAGTTGGGAACATTTTAAGAAATCTTCAAAAATATTTCATTCTCCGAAATCAATCACAGATCTTCTATCTCACACTTCACCTATCAAAGAGTATGGATTTGTATTTTTTAGTGCATGTGCGTTATTGGGACCAAATAGCGAAGAGGAAACTCAGAAATGAAACTTTGTGCAGCTGTTGTTTCTCATTGACTCAAATGATATTGTCTTAAACTCCAAGATTGAAATGCTGTTTTCATTTCATTTACTGTTTATTTTACTGCATGATGCAACATCGTCTTTGTCATTCCAAACCTTGCATTGTAAATTGTAATAATCCGTATGGTTAAATAGACTTGGCTTAAAAAAGTTGTCAGCTTTGTTATTTTCACCCAAAACGGCAGGTTTCATCTTTAAATCGAGAATATAGCATATGCTGACCAGTCATCTTCGAGTTTATATGAAGTCAGAAACCTAATTGAAGCATGTATCATTTACTCTAAAAACATTCAATGGCAATATCATTTCAAAAGTCATTACAGTGTTACAGTGTAAATGGAACGTTCTTAAGCTAATGCCAGTGGGTTTTTGTTATTCATTATATTTTTATTATTTTTGTTATTCATTATAAACAACAAGAAAAAGTGATAACTTCGATGAACAACTCATTTCATGGCGAATCAAGACTAAATAATTTTCTTTCTTAACGCTCAGTGACCTATGAGAAATATCGGTATTGTACTATATTAGATTAGACCTAATCCATCTTTCAGTTGAATGAGTCATGTGACTGTTTCTAGTCACGTGACATTAAATAGAAGAACAAAATAAATTGTGATGCATTTAACAACAGAACTTGCTGTCGGTTTGGTATTTGTTAATGTCAGAGAAAATTGTACTGATCGTAATCATCACAATTTGCTGTACATTCGCATATGAAGTTATTTTCATTGTAAGTTTTGTGATGCTTGTCACATTGATTTTTTTTTCATAAATGGTTCTAGTCTAAGTTTATCAACACTTGTCATGAAATTGTTTATATTCTATCTACATTTTTGTCCTTCACACATAAAATTATCACAGATTTCATAAATTTCTTTTGGTTTTATCAGCACGCATATTACATTAGTTGTTCAATCCATTTAATTTTTTTTAAAAAATGGTTTTAAAAATTTACCTGTCGGTAATTGGTTTTGGATTAATCAGTCAATAGTTGCTTGTGTAATCTTTATCAACCAAAAGGTGTGCATGGTGAGAAAACACCTTTTGTTTGACATTCAGGTGTGCAGGAAGAGAACACACCCTGTATATATATATATATATATATATATATATATATATATATATATATATATATATATATATATATATATATATATATATATATATAGAGAGAGAGAGAGAGAGAGAGAGAGAGAGAGAGAGAGAGAGAGAGAGAGAGAGAGAGAGAGAGAGAGAGAGAGAGAGAGAGAACACATCCTTTTGATAGGTATGACAGGTAACCAAATGTGCGTGAATCACACGCTGAATAAGTGTGCCATGTATCTGCTTACTTTTCGAAACTAAGAGGAACCGTTCGTGAATAGACTTTCGACCTTGACCTTAGGATACATGTACGTTTATCAGTACTTATTATATGTGCTCGACACGAGCTTGATGTTGGACCCACTTTATCATACTATATAATTATATAAGTATATAGTATGATAACGAGGGTTCAACATCAAGCTTAAGTCGAGCACCTGTGTTACTAATATATCTGAAAATTAGAGCCGAGGCCTGATTGCGCACAATATTCAAAAATGAGATATAATTACTTAGATAAAAGAGACTGATCCATTGCTTAAAATGATTACCAAAGTGGAAATATGCTTACAAATACCGACATCCTTGCCCTATGCCACATCGCTTTCACCAGGAATAAGCTTTTCTGAAAAAATGGCACCGCTTTGCTTTGATTTGAGAATCTGCTGGAATATAATATTAGTTCCCGGAGAACATATGCTGTGCATTACTCATATTGATGTCTAAAGTTGGTAACATGCACATAATAAAAAATTAGTTTTCCGTGACGGAATGCTTCAATTAGAGTAAATTGTCTCGGGCAGATTCATTAGAATGGCAAATCATCGATTGGAACAGCTTTTTAAAAAAGCGTGGGGAATATTCTAGGTACAGAGAAAAAGGTATTTGCACAAACTGGAATGTTATCTCAGGCCGGTGATATAATTGTTATGTTTTAGAGACAAATGATTAATTATTCCATCATGTATCAAAAAGGTCACATACATACATACATACATACATACATACATACATACATACATACATACATACATACATACATACATACATACATACATACATACATACATACATACATACATACATACATACATACATACATACATACATACATACATACATACATACATACGTACGTACGTACATATTACATAATGAAGACTCACGAAGACATCGGTTGCGGACATCGATTTGTTGGAAGTGAATCAAAGAAAATAAGAGAAAAAAGTCGAGAGATGAGAAGATAGTTTAAAGTATTTTCATGAGTATCATTAAGAGGATTCTAGTTTCTATCCTAAACGGACAAAATAGCTTTCCTATTGTGGCAAATCATATTCTTTTCTCTATTCTAATGCCGTCCCTACAGTAATTAGTTGCTGAAATAGTTCACCTTACATTTACTTGTATTATAGTCTTTCATATGATTTGAACTCTTTTATTGCAATCTGTTATTTATTCCTATATCCATTTAGAGATAGATCAGGAGAGGGGAGGGCAGGAAAGGGGATACGTGTCCATACTGATTTGGACAAGTATGCTGATGGCTATTACAAACTAATCAGAGTATATTTCAACCTTGTTGATATGACGATACACTTGAAAGGAAAACATTTTTGATGGCAGAAATCAAAATTTACTAAGCAACTTTTCAAATTGGTAATACTCAGATGATGTAATATCCGACGATGGTTAAAAAAATAGGAAAATTAGAGCGAGCATAAAATGTGGTACATTATTATCCTTGCTGCCACCTGATACATTACTATCCTTGCTGCCACATAATACATTACTATCCTTGCTGCCACCTAATACATTACTATCCTTGCTGCCACCACGTAATGTATTAGCTATCATTGCTGCCACCTAATACATTACTATCCTTGCTGCCACCTAATACATTAATATCCTTGCTGCCACATAATACATTACTATCCTGCCACCACCTAATACATTACTATCTGTACTGCCACCTAATACATTACTATCCTGCCACCACCTAATACATTACTATCCTTGCTGCCACATAATACATTACTATCTGTACTGCCACCTAATACATTACTATCTTGCCACCATCTAATACATTACTATCCTTGCTGCCACCTAATACATTACTGTCCTTGTTCAGTTGAATTCTACAATTAGCTCCACATAGCTGCAGCATTCCATAAACAAAACCGGACGTTATTAAGTGGTAAAATTCTGTCTTTTGACTCGGTAAATGTTGATCATGTCCGATTAGAAGCTTGGTGATCAAAGTTGTGTGTGTGTGTGTGTGTGTGTGTGTGTGTGTGTGTTTACAGTTTCTGCCCCTATAAATGATTTCTTTGCGATATTCTCCGTAAGTGTATTGTATCAGGTAGAGTGTAAAGATCTTTTTTTTTTTAATAATATCGGGTTGCCGGGCGATGACGCTACCCCCCCCAAAAAAAACAACAAAATTAAACAATACGAAAAAAATGAGTTAATGAGTAATTAAATGTATCGATGTTTTCAATGTTTGATAAAACCAAAGTATGAATTCACAGTTAAAAATAGAATCAACTAAAAATATTAATTAAGCAAGAATATTACCGTTGGTTTGTACCGAATACTGTATTGATTGCTCAGTTGTTACAAGTCAATCAGACCAGACACGTTGGGGAAGGGGTCCCAAAATTTCCAAAGACCCTCAGAGAGCAACACTGCAAAAATCTATTTTATCTATTTACTCAAAGTGTGTATAATACCTAATAAATGTACGCAAGAATTAAAACGCTTTTTAAATTTCAAGTGACAAGCTACTGTACATTTGTGTGTGTACGTTTTGTTTTTAGCAGGAGGTGGTTCCGGAAACCCCGGACCCTACCCACACCAATGTTCCCCTGAGTATGTGCCATGATGTCAATTTATTTACATTCATCAATCTTTCCATATTAAAGACTTATTTTAACCCTATTCGGATAATTTTGTTGTTTATGACTGGTTATGTTCAAGCTGTTCCAAAATGGTCATTAGCGTAATTGGCATAATATATTCTACAACCATACTATGTTGTAAAGAGGGAGGCCACTCTATCGGCGCAGGAATAAGTCACTTTTCATTTAAGACAGATATTGTAATGTCGCTTTTGTGACTAAAATTCACATTTTCTACATGCATATACAATTTTCATACTTTTGCTGTGATTGTTTCACTAAAATGACGCATGCACACTCCATTTGCATGCAGTTTGTTAGGATTTTGATCTAATTCATCTGTTGGCGTCGTATGCCATTCGCAAATTACGGAACCTCAGACAAAATGACTACTTGTAAATATCAAAATATACAGACCTGTTCTTGCCATGACCAGAGAATAAGACCACCATCCACGTTTCAATGACCTCTTCATACATTAATCAGTATATACTTATACACGAAGAGACCGCTCCGGTGGTCTAGTGGTTAGACCGTCCGCCTCTGATGCAGGAGGTCTTGGGTTTGATCATCGGCCGAGTCATACCAAAAGCTTATAAAAATGGTACTAATAGCTGCCTCGTTTGGCGCTCAGCATTGAGAGGTTAGTGTTAGGACTGGTTGGCCTGGTGTCATTATAAAGTGACTGGGTGGGGCATCATGTTACATGTCTACGGCATGATGTCTCAGTGCTAAACATCACTATAAACAGCCACACGGTAGACATCGTAGTGATGTGACTGAAAAATTGTAAAAGCTACGGTAAAAAAATCCAAAACACAAATCACACACTTATACATCAAGCAGTCTGCTCATTCGGATCGCGTCTTCAGAATTCATTTTACATAGGCTTGAATCTGTATTGGTACAGAACGACAATATCAGCGAGCTTCGAACAAAAAAAAAACTGTTAGTAATATCACCAGGTCCAATCTGAATGTTTTGGTGTCCACTGTTGGACACCACACTATGGACATTACCTCCAGAGCGTATTTGAAGTCATTTATATTGTTGTGTTTATTTAATTTGTATTGTTCGCTTATCTAATTAAGGATCGACCTTTTGCCTACCCGACTATCCGAATGGTTTTGTTTGTCACGTTTGTAAGATATAAATCAGTTGTTTTCCAGAATTTTTAATTCAAGGGTTGTCCTTATTTACTAACTTAGAATGTTCTGGAAGCGAACTTGTGACCCACGTCCTGGTCATTTAATTTTGTTTTAAGGATTTATATAAGGTTGATTTAAACAAAATTATTCATCCCTATCTTAAGATCTGTTTGTGGAATCATTTCCGTTGTGTTAATTTGAGACGAATCATTTATTTTAAAATAATTCATCGGAATGTAAAGTGCTCATTGACATTTTGGATTGAAATCTATTTTGGGATTAGTGTTAATTCATTCTGGATTATATTATTGTGATACATCAAGACTTTCGGTACATCAACTAAGACTATTGGCACATCAGCACGCTAAACATTGGAATTCATGCGATATAATCAATAGTTATGGACTTGTGATAGAACATTTAGGATTATTTTTTAAAATTTAATTTACATTAGTTAGTTCCTTCTAATTTTTCACTTTATAATTTATAAAAATTAATGTATTTGTTGATTTTACTAAACTTGCTGGTTTTTCTTCTTTATGTTACTAAATTTAAGACCAGATTCAAAACGCCATAATAGAAGATATCCTTTATTTTGTTTAGTCTATAGCAGTTTTTGTGTCCTTTTGACAAGACACACTCTGGGCGTATGAAATATATTTGTCTAAAAGATTATTTGGTAATTGGCATAACTCATGTCATGGCCAGAAGCGATCACTTTAGAATGAAAACATAAAGAATAATGTGTCAGTTTTACTAATACTAAAAGGAAACGTAGCTCTGAAGTTGAACGACAATCTTGCCACGGCGACTTTAGATACCTAGAATTCTGCCTTTGCAGTAAAACAAAACCTTTGAGCACGCTCCATCATCATCCGCAACATGCCATTTAAAACGAAATTATTTAAGTGTCAAGAGACTGGTTTGATTGGGTTGAAATAGCTTTGGACATATTTGGATTGGTCTTTTCCGTAACAGGTGTCAAGAACAACTGAAGTCTTCAGTTCAGTTCATTTTTTATTACCTATAATGGGCTTTAAAAGAGGAAAATTGTGGTTTGACATCGCAAACCTTCTGAAAATATTCATGTGTAGTAATTACGCATTCGTGGGATTCATGGTGCGGACCTAGTCTTGTTCCCTGCTTCGTATGCTCCCTTTGTTGCACTCCGATGTATGAAGTCGGGAGAACGCCGACGCCATATTGTCACGTAATCAAAACAAATGGCATCATTTAGAGAGATCTAGTTAATATTCGGATTGTTAGTGACAAAATGAACTTAGATACTTTCAATTTGGACTATGGTAGTCATTTTTGTTTAAGCTTAACCACCGATTCATCATATAATTATTTTTACAAATATTTTTACTAGTAGGCGAAGATGAAGGAAAAGGGAACACAACGACATTTTGTTATTATTGCACATTTTACACCGCGGCATCTAAACAATTCCTTCTCCAATCGATTCCTTGATAATTTTACGTCGAAATTAATATGAAATGATGTACGACAGCTTAAATATAGCCAAAGATTAAGATGAAAATATCACCTCTCTTTTACAAGAGGGGAGGGTAACGATTGTTTTGAAAATATTACGCACTGTACAACACGCCATCGAAATTTTGTTTGCAATAAATTCCTTGATCAATTTTACATCGATATTGATATCGCGTGGTGCATGACACTTCAGACATTACCAAATATTAGCATCGAAATAGCAACCATATTGCACGAATGGCGAATGTGACGATACTTGCATGGTCCAATATTGTACATATCGAGAGTTAGTAAAATTCACATTGTCACTAACAAAAAGAATATTAAAGGAATAAATGTGCCGTAGGTAGATTAATTAACAGTGTAACGAAATGACTGAACAATAGTTAAAGCTACGTTAAAAAAAACTAAATCACACAATCACAACTAGATCTCTATGAGGCCATTTGTTTGATCACGTGGCAACAAGGTTTCGGCGTTCACGTGACTTCGTGTACCGTAGTGCAACGTAAGGAGCATGCGAAGCAGGAGACCAGACTAAAACTTTGCTACAATTATGAGGAGATTCAAAATGAAATGGAAATACATACACAACATCTTGGAGAGCTCTTCAAAGTTCACCACTACACCACTCTTTTTTAAAAATCATATTTAAGAAGGTTCTTTTGATCTGCAAGAAAACCTTTTGGCCAAAAGCTAACTAACTTGTAATATATGTCTTGTGAAGTCAGAGGCTAGTGGTGTTTTTAACATTTGGAAAGGAGTTTTATGAGATGCTGTTGTAATTGACGGAAGAATTAGCGGACGAAGTAGGGAGACCAGAAACAGCGTCGAGAGCACATCGGACAATGCATTTCTTGTGATCGTGCGTGTCTATTCAGCACGAATATTTAGGGACAAAGTGACTCAGAAAGAAATTTATATTTGACAATACACTGGAACAAGCCACGCAGAGTGATACATTATCTGTAAGCACGAATACAATTAGAAAAGAAAATAAGGTGGTTTTTAAGACGGCTTGCTAATTAGTTCCTAATTACAAATATGGCTCTACTGGTACTTATTCATTAAAAAGGAACAAACATTACCTTTGAGAAACATACAAAACACAACACAACAACAAACAAACAAAGCTAAAAAAATAGTTTGGGGTAACCGCGATGTAATCGTTTTCTAAAAGTTGAATGAAATCCACATGCATTTATGTTTTTTTTAAAAAGTCTTGTTTCAAATAATTTTTGTTTTAAATGTTTGCTTTAGATCAGAACTTTAAATAAACAAGTGGACATTCGACCCAATACGAGGAGGAAGAAATATGCATGTGCGTGCGTGCGTGCGCGCGCGTGTGTCCATAACAAAGTATTGCATATAATCCTGTTCTGACTGATAGCCTGTGTACAATGCATACATTGAAATAGTGTCCCTGGCAACCGTTTGTATGGACCTTCATGTTATAATGTACATGTATTCTGGACTCCATTCTTGACGGGTTTTGCTGATAAAACGTATTAGTTCAACAATATTTTTTCTTACATAATAAACTTCTTATAGTTAACCTTTAAACACTTCTAAACCCCTACAGGCATGATTTTGTTTCTTTATTTATTAACTTATTTATTGTTTAAGTAGACCTTTTTTATCAGTTACATTTTATAGAAAACGGAAAATCTGAGGAGCAGTCTGAACACACTGTCACTGTTACGCATATTTTGTTGTATTTTTCGTCACATTTAGCTGACGCCGTTACGTCACATGTATCTCCATTACATCCATTAATATACCCTTACGTCCTAGTGGTTAGAGTGTCCGCCTCAGATGCGGGAGGTCGTGGGTTCGATCCAAGGCCGAGTCATACCAAAGGCTTACAAAAATGTTACTAACAGCTGCCTCGCTTGTCGCTCAGTATTAAGAGGTTAGTGTTAGGACTGGTCGGCCTGGTGTCAGGATAATGTGACTGAGTGGGACATCATGTTACATGTCAGTGGCTCTGAGTGGCCGATTGGTCTAAAGCGCTTCACCGTTCTGGATCACTGCCACCTCATCTCTGTCTGTGTGGGTTCGAGTCTCAGGATCGGCTAACGTGGGTACGTGAGAAAGCCTGCCAGTAGCTTCTCGTGGGTCGGTGGTTTATCCGGGGTTATCCAGGGTACTTCCTCCACCAATTATGCTGACCGCCATGCATAGACCATCTTCTGCAGAAAAATGGCGTTAAACCCTACAGCAACAACAGTATCCTTACATTACATGTATCTGCATTACATCCTCTAGAATAAAATAATTATAAGCAGGCTGTCCGACGTACGAGAATAACAGCATTATCCAGTAGATGTTGATTTTTTTTAAAAAGGATTTATGTTTAATATGCTTTTCTTTTCAACGATATTTTAGCATAACATTGTGTAATATCGGATCATACCGGAGATAAGGGAGTCAGCTTTCTTTTCCAAATACCCGCCCAGGTCAGCTGACATGGGCGGGTATCGAACCCGTGACCTAATCTTTATCAATCGAGCTACCGCGCTCCCAACAGGATGAAAACGAATCATGCCAGGATTGCTGAGGCATGCCATATATTGTTACGTGACCGTCATGCTTGATCCCTGTAGGGTAATTTTTTTTTTTGTTTTTCTCGCACGTGTAAGTTTTAATTATTTTAATTATTATGTACGCTTTATGAGTTATATTTTAATTTAGAGATTAATAGTTGTTTATTTTCGATCGATCAGAGAATATATGTTGTGTATATAATGGTATCATGTCTTTTTTCTTTAAAACAAAATTATTTCAAGCCTAAAATGCTTGAAGGAAAACTTTCATATTTTCAGATGAATCGACGTGGTGAAGAATATATATATATATATATATATATATATATATATATATATATATATATATATATATATATATATATATATATATATATATATATTTTATATAT